CTGGAAACGATTCCCTCTCTTCAACTCTTCTCATTCTGGAGGTTCTCCCTCCCCTGATATCTCCAGACTCGGGCTCTTCTTCCCCATCTCCCTTCCACCACCTTACTTAGGCCCTTGGTATTTCTCACCTGAACCTCCTAGCTAGCCTCCATGTCTCTATATTTGTGGAACACAAATCTTTATGTCACTCTCAAGTTTAAAACTCTCTCTGGGCCCCTCAACCCCACAAGATACAGTCCAGACCCTTATTCTGGACCATGGAGCCCTTCATAGCCCAGTCTCTGCCGGTCTTTCAATTCAATTCAATTCAATTCGGCAAATAGACCCTGGTGCCTTCCACGTGCTGAGCCACGCCAGAGATATGAAATCAAAGGGTCTCAGCTCACAGGAAAGACAGATGAGTAAACATGCAATTGAGGCAGTGTGATGGGCCTAGCAGAACCACAGGAGGCCTTGGAGACTTAACCAGTGGTAACTCCTACAGGGAGTTAGTGCAGACCCAGGACTACAGTTAAATCTCCAGGTCCAGGTCCAGGGCTCTTTCTACTACTTGATGCAGTCTGGCCAAAAAGACCTCTGTCTTCCCCAATAGAATGAAAACAAAACAAAAAGAAAAGACACAAGATGATCCACGATTAAAATATATATTAAGTATTAAAATGTAAAACCCATAAACGTTATTACAGGGACACTAAATCACAGTGACACAAGATCATGTAAATATTGCATTTATAAGATGGAAACACAGGGAGGTGGATCACACTCAAGCACAGCCCTGATGGAAGTCCATGACTCATCCACTTTGTCAAGTAACACAGAAGTGAGGTAACAACTTACTTGCAAATGTTAATATTACCACTTGGGCAGGGGCAAAATGGGTACCTGTGCCTTTTTATTCTGCTACGTATGAAAAATTAGAAGAAAATTACTTTTAAAAATATAATTAATTAAATGCACATATTAAAGGCTTGAATTTATTTCAAAGAGCCAAGAAACTAAATTTGAGAAGATGTTAAGTGATTTCTAAGAGAATTCCAATAGGAGATTGGGAGGGTGTCATCTCAAAAAGAAGGCAGAGAACATCAGAGGAAAAGGAGATTGTAAGAGATTATCTAGTATATTCTCTGTCCTCAGGAGATAGCATAGCTTTCAATCAAAGGGAGATATTGTCTACACTTGTGGGACCACGTTTTTACATTGTCTACATTTGTGGGACCAAATGTTTTTAAACTGTGGGCTGCGAGCAGGTCAAGAAAGCAATTTAGTGGGTCATGACAGTCAATTTCTTTTTAAACAAAAGAGAACAGAATCTAATAGAAAATATCAAGTTGCATTTCATGTAGCAAGAGTAAGCACTGAATTTTATGTATAACCGTGTGTGCACACATGTTTATTAGTTCATGATATAATATACATTGCATATGGTAAGTTGCAGTTGAGAAAGTTTGAAAAACACTCTTCTAGAAAACTTATTAGAAAGGGTTCTATTTTTAACACATACTAAACACACTCAGTTATGAGAACTGACATTTTTCCTCATTCTTGGAGTTTATGCTAAAATTAAACAGAGAATGGGGGTGGAATATTAGAACTGGAAGGAGGAAACAAATTAGCAGAATGTAAATGAGTGAACTGATAACAAGAGATTAGAGATCAAATGAATGAGAGAGATGAGCTCTGACCTTTTTTCTAAAGCCTCCTGCTTGATGATAACTAAGGATTCCCTGACTATTCTCCTTGCTCATTGGAGCACTAGATACACAGTAGCTGCTGAAAAATTACTTGTCCAATGACCCTCCAGAAGGACCCGTATTCTCTCTATGGTAACACTTATCAAGCAGTGTGATTGTTGCCTTTTTAATAATGTCAGTCTCATCCACATAGATACAGAGATTAATTGGTGGTTACCAGAGGGGAGGTGGGGAAGGAGGAGGTCATAATGGGTGATAGGGCATATGTGTACGGTGATGGATGGTAATTAGTCTTTGGATGGTGAACATGATGTAATGCACACAGAAATCAAAATATAATGATGTATACCTGACATTTATATAATGTTATAAACCAATGTTACCTCAATAAAAATAAATAAATAAAATAAAAAGAAAATAATATCAGTCTCCTCCACTTGTAGAAGCTCCTTGAAGGCTGGGCTAATGTTTGGTCCACTGCTGTATCCTCACCTCCATGACAGTGCCTGGCAGACAGTAGGTGTTCAATAAATTTTGGTTGGATTGAACTGAAAGGCATCAAAGGGCAATAAAGATCTAGTTCTAATAACCGTTTAATGCTTGAACTGTCTTGGCAAGAACAAACTGATTTCAGTTAACTGAGCAAAAGATATTTTAATTAGAGAAAAATAACAACAACAAAACTCTGAACTTAAGTTTCCAAGAGGCAAATAGCTTGTAATCTCTTATGTGTCTTGCCCCAATGGTCAGGTTGGCTCAAAAGACTTATCTGATCCTTTTATAGAACAAGAGCCTCTTGAAAGGTCACAAGCTCTTTAGGACGTCAAGCTTGGACCTACCTTTGGACCCAGTCTGGCTCCTGGGGACATATAGAAGATGCTTTTTCTAGTCTGGATGGTTTGAGGGCAATAACCACTTTGAATCTGAAGCTGCTGGGCTGTCCCTGTCCACATTGCTAACTGGAGCAGGCAGTATACCCATGAGGTCCTGCAGCAGAGGGCTGGATTTAGAGAAGTAGTCAATTGACCAAGTGAATCAACAAGGAATCAAGCCCTGGTTGCTTGTCTACAAGAAGCCCAGGCTGAGGGGAAATGAGACCTGCTGGGAAGTGATCATTTGCCTTTCTCACCCCTCTGCAGCTCTGTCATACCTCCATGACTAGGTGTCCAAGCCCAATTCCTAATAGTGCAGCTGGTTAGGGCGGGTCCATAAGGATGCCTTGAGCATGAGTATGTAAGGGCGATGGTGCTGGTCACCAGGCTAGATTCTTTGGAAGGGCATTTGGTGGGTTATCAGTGGCAGGATGGGTGACAGATGCCATACACCAAAGGATCAGTTCAAATTCAAATTAAAAGGAGAGCCCACTAGTCACTAGATACTCTTCTTAGCCAGGCAAACACCCTGATTGATGTTACCAATGAAAAGTCCTCTTTATCAAGGACACTGATGAGTACCAAAGGTAGAGATAAATGTTCTTTCCCTACAGCTACACTAAAGCAACAGCTTTACCCTTCATGTGTTCTGTTCCTTATACAGTCAAATGTCCTGTCTCTGTGCATGAGGAAGGCAAGGAATAGAATAACCTTGTCTGTGGAGTTCAGTGGATACCAAGAATCCAGAACACTTATTTAGCAAACAGCTTCAGCCTCCATCCCCCACCGAAGCTCTATCCCAGTCTCCGTCCGACCATTTGCCAGCACACGCTGAAGGAATATACATCTTCCTCGGGTTAACCTGAGCAGAACGTAATCAAGAGGGCAGGTTGGCTTGGGAGCAAGAGGAGGGATGGGTACCATGCACTCCAAGGTCAAGCAGGAACAAAGTCTGGTTTTTTTTTTTAATACTATGTCTAGACACTTAGTTTGAATCTCAATTGTAACTTCAGTGTAACTTAATCTCTCCTGGTCTCAGTTTCCTAAGAAATCATATGCAAAAGATAAAACACATGTCTACAATGTCTAGCAGTGCCCGGCAACTTAATGGGTCAGCAAACAACACATATTATCATTAGGATTGCAGTATTGCAAAACGGATCAGAGCAGAGGTTTTGGAGTCAGAGAGACTCCAGGATGCTGGCTCCATGGATCTCATCAGCTGTGACACCTTGGGAAAGTTCTCTAACCTCTCTGAGCTTTCATTTTCTTATCTACAAAATGGAGACAATGAAATCAGTTTATAGGGCAACTGTAAGTACTAAATGAGAATCTGTATGTAAAATGCCTACCACAGAATAGATGACCATAAATGTTGGATATTATTATGATGGCTTACTCCCTCAGAGAGGTAAACATGCCCCCAATAAATCCGTAGCTACCTCAAGCAATCAGATGAATCTCTCAAAGGTTACTGATGCTCAACATGCCAAATACTAACATATTCTCCAATGTCCCTGCTCCTCCTCTCATGTTCCCTATTACAGTGTATGGCACACCAGCTTCTCTGTCATCCAAAGCAGAAACCCTGTAGTCCTCATCAACTCTTGCCTCTCCCCCTAAACAAATCCGTCATTGGGTTCTGTTAATTCTACTCTTAAATATGTCAACTCCATTTGCTTCTCTCCATCTGCCCACCAAAAATATTATTTCAGGGCACCATTAACCAGATAATATGTCTCCAACCTCATCTCCCTGCTCCAGCCTTCCTCCTGCAATTCACTCTCCAAGCTGCAACTAGTCATCTTTCTAAAGTACAAATCTGAGCATGCCTTTCTCCTGCTTTAAACCCTTCATTGGCTCCCAAAATAAAATCCAAGTCCCTTCACATGAACTCCAGAGCCTGCCATGATCTGCCTAGTGCTAAGCTCCCTCCCGAGCCTCATCTCTCACCACGTCTCTTCTTGTTTTGTGTGCCCCGGCCACACCAAAGTATTTGCAGTTCTACAAATTAATGATGCTCTCCCTCTCTGCAAGGATTTCACACTTGCTTAGTCCCTTCTCTTCTCATGCTAACTCATTCTCAATCTTTAGGTTTCAGCTTAGATGTTATTTCTTCCAGGAAGCCTTCCCCAACACTTGAATACTGAGTTAGATGCCTCTTCCACTATATGCTAATATCTGCTTATTTGATTATCCCTCCAACTAGATTGGGAGCCCTTTGAGGACAAAGCCCAATTTTGTCATTGAAACATCCCAAGTGCCTCAAACAATGACCGGCACAAAACAGGCATTCAAATATTTGTTTGTTGGATAGACGGATGGATGCTAATAATTGGCCATGCTCTGTGGAGCAATTTCTGGTGTCGAGCTGCCCAGTAGCTAAGCCAGCTCCAGGGTACCAGAAGGTGTCCTATCCAGCAAAGGCAACACTTACCTAGAATGGCCACCACCTCATCATCCTGGATCACCTCTAGGGAGCCGGAGACGACAAAGCAGAGGCTGTCCACACTCTCTCCTGCATGGTAGATGAGGTCCCCCGGGGCACAGTGCACCGTCTGGAACTCCATGGCCAGTGCCCGCAGGCAGCCATCGCTGGCCAGTCGGAAAGCTGGGTGCTCCTTGAACACCTTGCGGTTCAGGTGCACACAGATGTCGGCTCTCATGTCCTTGGGGCAGATCTGCAGGACCTGGCAGGGCACAGGAAGAAACAGTGTCAGGGCCCTCCCTGTGGCCTCCAGCCCATGGCCCCTCAGCACCCTGGGGGCAGAAGCAACACTTACTGGCTAGACTACACCCTTCAAGGCACTGGTAGACAAGACAGTCACAGTCCCTGTCCTCACGGAGCTTACTTTCTTTTGCGAGAGACAAAAGAAAGTGCCATTTTTGTGGCAGTGACCACAAAAATCTATGCTAAATGCTCAGGACAGGGGCCCGAGAGTCAGGGGGCCGGGAGTATGTGGGACTCTTTAGACAGGTCAGGGAAGGCCTCTCCCAGGAGGTGACAATTAAACTGACACCTGTATAATGTGTCAGAGTGACCCCTGTAAAAGAAGAACACTTCAGCAGAATAGCAAAGAGAGGACCTGAGCAACAGCCAATGTGAATGAGGGGAAAAGGATAAGAGACGAGGTTTTGGGAGAACACTAAGCATGAGAGCGGGCAGAGACTTTCAGGTTATGAGAAGACTTTGATTTTATTCTGAGTGTGTTGGGGACACGTTGGAGGATTTCAAGCAGGGGAGAGACATGACCTGACATATTTTAAGAGGATCGTCACAGCTACAGAGTGAGGTTCAAGCACCCTACCGTAGGATGCAAGAATGTAGCCAAGGAACCGAGTTAGGTTATGGGGAGAGGGGACGGGACTTGGACTGGGATGCTGGCAGTGGAACCAGTGAGAAGGGACCAAGTTTAGAATATATTTTGAAGACAGAGTTGCCATGATCTGCTGATGGACTGAGTATGGGTGTGATTTAAAGAGAGATATAAAGTAATATTTACTGACCACTTACTATGTACCAGGCTGCTAAGCACTTTAGGGTCATTCATTCATTTCATACTTATCTATCGAGCACCTTATTATATGCCAGGAATCCTTCTAGGCTCTGAGGATGCAGCAGTGAAAAAAATGGACAAAAATCTCTGCCTCGTGTAACTTACTATCTAGTGGAAGGAGGCAAATAATAAGCAAAACAGGTAAAATTTAGCAGTAAGTGCTAAGGAGACTAATGAAAAAGGAAAGAAGGAGAGGGAAAGTCAGAGAATTGTGATTTTACATTTTTAACATTACACGCATTAGCTAATTTAATCCTCACATAAACCCTACAATGTAAGTGCTATTATTGTACCATTTTACAGATGAGGAAACTGAGGCAGAGGGAAGATAAACAGCTTGCCCAAAGTTGCACAGCCAGGAAATGGCAGAGCTGGGATCTCAAACTAGGTAGTGTGACTCCAGAGCCTAGTTGAGACACTAACCACTTCCCAGATTATGCGGCACCCAAAACAAATGGGCTTGTCATTTGACTCTGAGCATCCAGCAACTCAGGGCAAAATGGGAACTGTAAGAGGCCATGTGGGTCTCATCTTCCAAAGAAATGAAAATTTCTCAGCATTTCTAGGAGGAGAAATATTTCTCTGGACTAAATTTTTGCAAGAAACCATTGCATGACCCTGTATGTGGCAAGCACTAAGTAACATAATAGGATACCTTCAAGTGGACTTTTCCAGAGAAATCAGGAGTGTTCCTAAAATAACGCTTTCTCCCATGCTAGCCTGTGAACAAAGCTGGGGGCATAAAATCAAACGGGTCACTGAAGACATTTCTTTGGGGTGCAGGTGACTTCCCCACTCCTGCTTCTCTGCCTTAGCACAGACCATTTGCTTCTGGGTCTGGAGCTCACCTCAGAACTTGGAAGTCCCTCAGCCTGGCTCAAATCTCACCTTGCGCATGCCAACTCTGCTCCTCTCCCACCCTCTCAGGTGCCCCCTGTGCTCCGCATGGAGGTGTGGCCATGTAAAGAGGAGGTCGACGGTTGAAATTTCAACTCCAACCCCTCCGTGCGACTTAACTGCTCTACACTTCAGTTTCTCCTGTAAAATGCACACCCTAACATTGGCTTGTGAGGATTAAATGAAATTATATCTACCAGTACACTTCCCTGGACAGTGCCTGGCCCCAGTAAGGGACTCAATAAACTCCGGTCCCCTCCCTCTGTGTGTCTCTGCATTCTCGCTCTGAGGTTGCAGGATGCCAAGGAAGTGAGCATGTTCTCCAGAGTGGGGATGGAGGACTGGCCAAGGCAGAGGAGAGTTCGGACTACCAATGCTTGGGCGGAGTGCTTGCTAAGTTCTTCCCTCCTTAAGGCTCATTAGAAACAAGACTCCTGTAGAGACGCAGATTTAATTTGCATCCTCTTCTCTCCAAGCAGAATACCAAGGTGTGGGGAACACTCACAGGTCATGTCAAAACTGTGCCCAGCGGTTTGAAACCAAGATTTATTCTCCAGGTGAGTTCACCTTTAAATATCTGGCTTCTGCTGGGCTAGGCTTTGCTGGCAGAGAGGCTGCTAGTGAACGAGGCCTTGGCATGGAGACAATGTTTTATTCATGGGCACTGTTCCCAGAGCCACTGGAAAGCACGTGTGAGGAGGAGAGGGAACGTGGAGTGGAGAAATTACGGACTTTCAAGGCCATCAGGCATCTCAGATCATCATTCTTCTGTTGGCTTCATGCTGGGCAGGGTCGGGGGGTCCTGAACTCCTCTCTGTGAGGGAGAGCGTCAGCTTGAGACCCCATAGCCTTCCTGGGCCACCTTCCCTTCTGCTTGGTATGAGAAGAGAGCATCCTTGCTGGTCCTTGAGGCCTTGAAGGCCACAAGGAGATGTCACCATGGAGGCTCATGGAGCCTCCCCAGGCTGGGCAGGACAAAAGCGTGGTTGAGAGAACAAGCTTTAGGATCAGGCAAATCTGGATTCAATTCCTGGCTTCAACATTTACTAGTCGTGTGAACTTGAAGCAATACTTAGCTTCTTTCCCCAAGTCTTCATTTTCGAACTTGAGTATAGAATTTTTCTGAGGACTCCATGAGCTGCTGTGTGGAAAGTCCCTGGTACAACGCCCGGCACACGCCATTGCACAATGCATGTGAGCTCTCATTTCCAATGCTATTATCACAGCAGGTCAGAGGGAGGCTTTGAAGTCCAGAAGGTCATAGCCAAGAGAGCCTTAGAAATCGGCCATAGTCTTAAAAGTTATCTAGTTTCCATGTGTTACAGACATGGAAACTGAGGCTCAGAGGGGCAAGTGATGTGCTCAAGGTCATCAGCCAACTACCAGTAAAACCAGAGTTGCCAGCACTACCACTTTCCCACCTCACACACACACCCTAGGCTCCTCTGGTCATCACTGACCTTCCGATCCAGAATGGAGGGGATGGGAACCAGGGAGAGGCATGGGATCACGGACTGGTTCTCTCCCCAGCAGTTGCCCGCCAAAAGCCCCTGCCAGAAGGAGTGGCCACCCCAGGCCAGGCTGGGCTCTGCAGTGAGTTACCATAGTATTCCCTTTTCCATCGGGATCAGGGCCTGGGGCTAATCCCAAAGCCCTCCAGGAAAGTGAGAGAGCAGGGAGGGGAAGGGAGAGCAAATGCTGACAATGCTGTCTCCCAGGGCAGCCGCCCAGCCCAGCCCTGCCTGAGTGGGGAACTGCTTCTTTCCCACAACCTGATTTACAAAGGCATCTAGGCCCCTGGGAAAAGGAGCCCCAGGGCTGAGAGATCAAAGTTCTTTCTGCTTCATCAGCTGCCAGGCACCCACAGAACCTACCGGCCTTGTTGAGAGAGCAGAGCAGAAACAACAGGCACGGTTGGGGCAGGTGCTTGGCAAAGCAGGGACTAAGTCCCGCCCGACCGATGCCCTGCCCATCTGAGAAATGAGGGCAACTCCATCTGGACTCGTCCTTCCCTCCAGCACATGTTTTAAATTAAAAAAAAAAAAAAGGTAATAGTAGGAAAAGCACAAGCTTTGAAGTCAGACAAAACTGCATTCAAATTCTGACTTTACCATTCTTAACTCTGTGACCAGGGGCAGTTAATAAATGAATTGGGCCTCGGTATCCTCATCCTTTCTATAGAAATAACAGCAGCTCCCTCCCAGAGTTGTTGTGAGCTTAAATGAAGCATGAATGCAGGGCCAGGCGCCTGGAGAAGTGCGGTCAATATTTGTTCTTAATGTCCGTGCAAGGAATGGTAGCTGGTGCTGTGGTCGTGGTGTTTGATGTTATTGTAGTTATTATTCAACAAATAACCAACCAATATTCAACAAAACCCAAGTATTGTTCCTTCTAAGTTGGGATCAGTTAAATTTAGTTCAATTTTTCCTTTTAAACTGTCAACTCTCAACTGACTCTTGTAATGGAGGGAGACTAGGAACATGGAGAGCTGGTCCAAAGCCAGTTGAATTTGGCTTCGAATGTGTCATAAGGTATTTCTGCAACAGCATTATCTTTCTGTTTTCCTCATTCAAACAATGAAAGGGATCAGTACTTACAGATTAGAGATAAAAGTACAGTCAAAAAGACTGAGAAGCAGAGAAAAACTGACCTAGGACCTTAAAAACTGACCTTACATTTTTGCTTATAGAAAATATACAAAGGAGAGACTTCACAAATGAATAATAGAAGGTCCACTGTAACTTTTCTCTATTCCTTCCAGTACCACCAAACTTTCTTCAGTTTATCGAAATACATCTAGAATAATGCAACTCTTAGAGAGCAATAGGGATTTATTGCCATTTCCATTTTACAGGAGGGAAAACTGATGCCTAGAGAGGAGCCTGACAGATGCTCTGCTCAAGTCAACCCACCATTAAGGCATAAGCCCTTGATGGGTATTTCTCAGACTTGTCTGATGAAAAGGATCACCTGAGCACTTGTTAAAGATGCAGATTTCCAGCCCCCCCATGACATCCCCCCAAAATTCTGAATCTATAGATCTGGGATGGAGGCTGGGAATCTGCTTTTAATGACCACATCATGGGATTCTTATCAGGGTCAAGACTAGGGCCCTGGGCCACAAAATTGAAGAGGATGCTAAAAACTCAATAATCAAGATAAATCATAGTTTAATACAATATTTAAAAAAATCAAAATTCATGCAAAAAATCCATGATGAACAACATATCAAAGTTTGAATAAAGACAGGATCAGCAGCAGTGCTGTGCCATGTTGGAGCCTGAGGCGAAAGGTAAATCAGTAATACCGATCGCCTCACCCTAGGTGGCCCTGATTTTTATCGTCATACAATTTTGGGAAATTCTGCCCTGGACGGTTAGACTTCCAATTCCTCTCTTCTCCAGGAAACACACCTGTCTTTCCAATTTCTTAAATAAGGGCTCTTAATTGCTGGTTCTTGAGCAAGGCTGATTTGGAAGCAATCAAAACCTCTGGAGGTAGGACCTGGGAACCCAAAAGTACCCAGGTGAATTCTGATGGACAGCTGGGATTGAGAACCACTGCCCTATGAGAGACTCAGGTCTTGCCGGAAAAGCCATGAGACAAGTGGTTTACCTGAGCTCAAGGCCCTCCTTACCTTCTCTGTGTCAATGCCTCTGGACATGGACCAGGTGGACACGATATAATCCATGACTCGCTCACTCAATCCCTTCGGCACCTGGTAGAGCTTCAGGAAGTCCCTAACGCTGTTGAGCATCTCATGGTACCTGTTGGTGTTGGCGTACATCTGTTGGAAAATGGTCGTCACATTCCCAAAGATGGTGGCATAGAGAAGTGCTAGAGGCAGGAGGAGGAGAAGAAACAACACATGAGTGGTGCCTGAGCCAGGCCCAAGAATGCCCAACTTGCCCAGAGCAGGCCAATGGCCAGAGCTACCCTCCCCAGTGTAGACTGTCCTGACCCTCCTCAGGAGAACCTTACCCCAGAGCCTCTGGGAGTGGACCCAAAGAAAGAGTCTCCTAACACCAGGCCACTAGGACAGGGCTGGGGTAGATGGCAGCTGATAGGACTGGGGCCAGAAATAGGAGACAGATAGCAGTGGAGGGTGAGGGGTAGGGGCAGTTGGACTTCTTCACTTTATACTTCTTGTCACAAAAAGTTTGTGCCATGCCTGAGGCCACCAGTCAATCATGTTCCATACCACCCCAAATCCAAACCTGTCAGCAGGTGATCTTTATCAAGCCCTGCTATGTGCCAAGCACTAAACTACCTGCTGGGGACAAGACAGTGAATGAAACACTCAGTCCTGGCCCTCACGCAGCAAACAATGTAGTGGAAGGACAGACCTTGAATACATAATCACAATTCCCATTTGCCCTTGAATGCTGAGCTCAAGTGCCACCACTTCCAGGAAACCTCCCCCGCACCCCTCCCCTCCATTTGTCCCCATGAGAGTGACCATGACTCCCCAGGCATATTTCTATAGAGGTCATGTTACATATACCATCTTGCAATCATATGCTTCTTTCTTTGCCTGTGCCCTCACAGGGTATGAGTTGCTTGAAGGCTGGACCCATCTTTTCCTTGCTGTTTTATCCCCAGTATCTAACACTATTCCAGTACTACATAAATATTTGTCAAATTAGTAAATTTCATATGCTTTGGCTCTGGCTTTTTAAAAAGTTTGAGTTATTATTGATGTATAATAAACTGCATATGTTTGAAGTATACAATTTCATAAGTTTTGACACATGTAAACACCCATAAAACCATCACCACAATCAAAATAATGTACATCTCATCACCCCCAAAAGTTTACACCTGTCCTTTTATAATCCCTACCCACCACCCTCCCCACTCTCTATCCTCCCATCCCCAAGCAATCAATGATGTTTTCTGTCACCATAGGTTAGCTTGCCTTTTCAAGAATTTTATATAAATGAAATCATACCGTATGTACTCTTTTTAAACATCTTTATTAAGATATAATTCATACACCATAAAATACATCTATTTAAAGTATACAATTCAATGGCTTTTAGCATATTTACAGAGATGTGCAACCATCACTACAATCTAAGTTTAGAATGTTTTCATCCCCCTCAAAAGAAACCCCGTACCCATTATCAATCATTCCCCTTCCCTCCACCCACCACATCCCCTAGCCCTAGGCAACCACTAATATACTTTCTGTCTCTAGAGATGTGCCTATTCTGGACATTTCACATAAATAAAATCATACAATATGTGGACTTCTTTCATTTAACACAACGTTTTCAAGGTGCATCCACATTGTAGCATGTATTGATAGTTCATTCCCTTTTATTGTTGAATAATATTCCATTGTATGGATATGCCACATTTCATTTATCCATTCATCAGTTCATGGACATTTGCGTCATTTTCACTTTTTGGCTATTATGAACATTCATGAACAAGTTTTTGTATGAACATGTTTTCAATTCTCTTGGATATATACCTAGGAGTGTAATTGCTGAGTCATATGATAACTATGTTTAACATTTTGAGGAACTGCCAAACTGTTTTCCAAGGTAACCGCACCATTTTACTTTCCCACCAGTGGTGTATGAGTGTTCAAAATGTCTCCATATGCTTATCAATACTCGTTATTATCTGTCTTTTTTTTTTTTTTTGAGGAGGACTAGCCCTGAGCTAACATCTGATGCCAATCCTCCCCTTTTTTCTTGAGGAAGATTGGCCCTGGGCTAACATCCATGCCCATCCTCCTCTACTTTATACGGGACGCCGCCACAGCATGGCTTAGCAAGCGGTGCGTCAGTGCGCGCCCGGGATCCGAACCTGCGAACCCCAGGCTGCTGCAGCAGAGCGCGCGCACCTAACCGCTGCGCCACCGGGCTGGCCCCTATCTGTCTTTTTGATTATTGCCATCCTAGTGAGTGTGACCTGCTATCTCATCACAGTTTTGATTTACATTTCCCTGATGGCTAATGACGTAGAGAATTTCTCTTTTCATGTGCTTATTGGCCATTCACATATCTTCTTTGGAGAAATGTCCACTCAAATCTTTTGACCATTTTGCAGTTGGGTTGTTTGTCTTTTTATTATTGAGTTATAAGTGTTCTTTATATATTCTGGATACAAATCTTTCAGCAGATATATTATTTGCAAATACTGTCTCACATTGTATGGGCTGTCTTTTCACTTTCTTGATGGTATCATTTGCAACATAAAAGTTTTTAGATTTGATGTAGTCCAATTTATCTATATTTCTCTTTTGAACTCTTTTTTGACTGGTATAATTATTTTGAGATTCAACCATGTTGTTAAATATAAAAATACTTCATTCTTTTTAAGAAAAAAAAGTTTATTTTGAAATAATTATAAAATCACAGAAAGCTGTAAAGATAGTACGGAGAGATTCCATATATATATCTTTCACCCAGCTTCCCCATTGGTTACATCTTACATAACTAGAGCACAATATCAAAACCAGAAGATTTACACTGCTATAAAGTATGCATATAATTCTGTGTCATTTTGTCACATGTGTAGATTCATGTAACCAGCACCACATTCAAAATACAGAACTGTTCCATCACCACAGACATCTCCCTGCGCTACCCCTTTATACTCACATTCCCCCTGCAACTACTAATCTCTTCTCCTTTTTTATAATTACATCCTTTCAAGAATATTACATAAATGGAATCACACAGTATGTGACCTTTTGAGATTGGCTTTTTCCACGTAGCAAAATGCCTTGAGATGCATTGTTGCATGTATCAATAATTCATTCTTTTTTGTTGACGAATACTATCCCATTGTATGGATATGCCACAATAATTTCTTTCAAATAATCTTATTCAGGCTTAGGTGACAGACTAGGGGAAGGGAAAAAATAAGAGAGAAAGGCATGGATCTAGAAGTAAGGGAAGGAAATCTTCAGTTGAATCTGTCCAGCAGTGCTGGACACAACTGCCTGAACAACTGAGGACGCGAATCCACCTGAAGAGAATTGTAAACGAGGATGGGAAAGCTTGCTCACAGCTCTAGAAATATACCAGGGAGTGGTGTCAGTCTGAACAGAGGAGCCAGATGAAAAGTAGTAGTCAAAGCCTGAATAATGCAGACACCAGTTCTTCTAAGCTCATAAATAACCTCATACACGACAGGGTCAAACCTCCTACCTCTTCCATCCCAGCAATGTCACTGAGTGTGCTCAGAACCAACCTCCCAGGGTCTGGGCTGGCTGCCTTGTTCCCAGTGAGTCTGACTCTAACTCAACAAGCCTGCATGGCCGTCCTGCCTCAGCTCTGTTTTCTGGTCCACAATGAACCAGAGGTCACACATGAAGGGTAGGTGCCTTTCTCAGAAGGCTGTTGGAAAATTAATTTAATCTTGATCTTAAAGAAATAGTAACACCAAATCAATACGGTAAGACTCGCCCTCCTGCCCATGGTCTGAGAACCAGGCGCAGGTCTGAGACACTGGTGTGCTGGTCACACAGTTAAAGCAGTAATGTCATATCTGTCATTTATGGCCCAGGGCTGCTCCCATCCCAGCCTGTTTCTGAGGCATTCTGGAAGGTTAAGTGTCCTCAGGGGGGCTTTATTCAATTTTTATTATAATTATGAAATATTATTATTATTAAAAATGAATAATTCTGCTCTCAATGCCCCTTCTCTAATTTTACATGAAGTCAAGGTATATGTTTTTTATGTACACGTTTTCTCTATTGATACCTATATATAAAGCATTATGCCCTTAAAAAAATCACAACCTAACTGGAAGAGAAGACATGTAAGTCCAGCTATCACTTGAATAGATATTTGAGTGTGATGTGGGGAGGAAGAGAAGGAGATTGTAATGTCACGGCCACGACTGGACCTCACAGTGCAGAGGATGCTCTGGATGACTCTAAATGTGGATTAGTTGTGTCCTTCCATTTTGGGAAAGAAGTAAGGAGACCTCCCCCAATCCGAAGGCAAAATGCTGATTTGGATAAGAGGAGGTTTCTTTCTTTCTTTGAGTGGTTTAGAGTTAATATTGTATCATAGCAAGAGCTCTGGGTCCCCCCCAAAGAAAAACAGCATAGTATACTTCGGCCCTTGATTAGAAATTGCTATATGGAATTTGTGGGGAAGGCTGGCAAAAGTGTTTGTTTCTCTTTGTAAAATTTAGTGTTTATTTTTATATACATTATACACACACGTAGTTTAAAGAGTTAAATGGCCAAGACATTTTTAAAAAGAACCTTGTCTCATAGGCCTTATTTCTTTTCCCCCAATTTCCTGTTCTGCAGAAGCACCCACTTTCAAGGGTATTAGCTGACTCTTTTATTTTTTTATTTTTTATTTTTTGAAATTTTTATTTATTTATTTTTTTTCCCCCAAAGCACCAGTAGACAGCTGTATGTCACAGCTGCACAGCCTTCCAGCCGCTGTACGTGGGACGCGGCCCCAGCGTGGCCGGAGAAGAGGCGCATCGGTGCGCGCCCGGGGTCCGAACCCGGGCCGCTGGCAGCGGAGCGCGCGCACTCAACCACCGAGCCACGGAGCCGGCCCGTTAGCTGACTCTTTTATTATTGATCTTCATATTTGAATGTCATGCTCAAATCATTATGCCCTGATATTTCAGTTATAGGCATTATCCATTGACCTCTGAGAATTTAGCTCTTTTCCCTCCTCACCTCCAATCGCACACTCACCTCTCACTGTTTTCCCACTGCCCCATCCTCCTAATATAGTTATATCATTATTTTGGTTAGATAATCATCTGCGTTTATAGTACTATAACTAGATGAATGCTATCCACAGCTAAGCCATGTAGTATACTGTGTTACTTTTCCTTTTCTGCAATGTTTTCTTTTTCCTGTAGCTAATAGTAGTCTTCATCTTTTCATTTGTTTAGTTTACTTATCACTAATTTGACTCCAAACTCTCCCACAGATAAATGGGCCTCTTCTTAATATATTAAAACACATTAGTCTATCCAATTCATTTTCATAAAGAAATCTCTCATGGAGGCTTCTGAACTGTTCCATTGCCAGCTGTATGAATGTGTCCGCCCCAGCATCCTGGGAAGTCGCTTCACTTATTTGGGTTAGATCCCCCGATTCCTGCACTCCATGTCTTCTGCTCTTGATTTACTCCTTTTTGTCGGTAGAAGACATCTCTAATAGCTTTCTGAGAAAGGGTACATTGGAGCAAAAGTTTTGAGACCTAATATGTTCACTTTTATACTCAATAGCTTGGCTGGGTGTGGGACTTTTAGATTAGAAATCATTTCTCTCAGAATTTTAGAAACATTTCTCCATTGTCTTCTCTTGCTGTTGAGAAGTAAAAGCATTCAGATCCCTCGTCCTTCATACTGAACCTGCTTTTTCTCTCTAGAAACTCTTTTTCCACAATGCTCTGAAAATTCATAATGATGTAGCTTTTGCTGCAGTTCAGTTTTCATCCATTGTGCCAGGCTTTCAATAAGCCCTTTCAATCCATAAATCTGTGCCCTACGTTTCAAGGAAATTTTCTTGGGTTATTTCTTTTTCTTTTCTTTCTTTTTTTTTTTTTCACTTACCTCCAGCAGATCAAAGTAAAAAGAAAAGAAGAGGAGAGGAGACAACAGAAAGAGCAGATGAGCAAGGTGGTGATAGCAGTCATGGGATGGGGTGAGGGAAGGATAAACATAATAAGGACACTTTTCATGTCTAATCAGCTTTCTTTTTTCACTTTGCATAAAATTCCTCACACTTTCTCAAAAGGCAAGGGGGAAGGGAAATTGAGAGACTGTTCTATTCTATGAACCCAAGATGGAGGTAAACCTTAGTCAGAAGCAACAAATTAAGGGCAATGGAAAAGGAAGCAGGTAGCTCAACCCCTAGGACCTTTGGTGGGGCAGAAAAGAGATATTCAAGGAGTGAGTCTGGAAATAAGAAGCCTGTTTAGCAGGTCATAGGTCCTAAGACCCTGGCTATTGTCTAACCAGCTCTATAGCTCCCCATTCTCCTTAGCACCCCAGTCTCCAGAGTCATCAGCCACACTCCTCTCCTTTCTCTCATATCTGTCTCTTTTGGACATCTACTCCAGTTTCCAGAAACTGGAGGGGCCACCTAATCTGCCTGCTACCAAAGGGAAATAAAAAGG